CTGGGCCGGACGCGGGTGCTGGTGCCGGCCCCCTTCTTGCCTTCAAGGAAGAGAGCCAGCCAGGCTGGACGGCATCTCTCGGCCCTCGACGAGAGGGACGCGAACGGGCTGGACCTCGCTGGAGACGCCGGGGAGGACGCCGAGGGCGACAGCAGCTCCAGCGGCTCCGACTCGGTGGTGGAGCAGCTGGGGCGGACTCGGGCCCGAATGCGGCAGCTGCGCGCGCGGAGGGCGCACCGGCGGGCGAAGCTGTACGCCGATGCTATCCTGGCGGCGCAGGGCGAGGGCGTGAGCCTCCTGGAGACCTTGGCGGTGACCCAGGCGACGCAGGTGAGGTACCAGCGATATCTCGATCGTTTCTACTCTCGTGCCGGCCTGAGCCGGAGGGAGATCCTGGCGAAGCCGGACACGGAGATCGACGAGCTCATGTGCAATTACATGACCGAGAAATACTTGCAGGGCGAGCAGAGCAACTACGGAGACCAGACGGTCGCGGCCTGGGTCAGCGCGAACCCGGACTTCGGGCGCGTGGGAGGTCGCAAGCTGCCGCGGACCTGGCGGGCGCTGAAGGCCTGGCGCAGGCTGACTCCGGGCAGGCGGCGGAAGGCCCTTGCCCTTCCGGTCTGGTGCGGGCTGGCCTGGAGGCTGGCGCAGCGAGGACACCTACGCCTGGGCATCTTCTTGATGATAGGCGTATCGATCTATGGTCGGCCCTCGACTTTGCTGGCCGCCCGGCGGTGCGACCTTGTGCCTCCGTCCCCTGGTGTCAGCCGGCACTGGGCTCTGTTGACCCACCCGCTGGAGCGGAAGAGGCCGAGCAAGCGTGGGCACTTCGACGAGGGCTGCCCCCTGGACTCGCCGTACCTCCAGGGCTTAGACGAGGTGTTCGGGCGGCTGGCCTCGACGACGTCGAAGGAGCCGCTGTGGAACTTCAGCTACCCCGAGGCAGCGACGCTGCTCAAGGAGGCGGCAGAGGACCTCGGGGTGGCCCCAGTGACATTGTACCAGATGAGACACTCGGGCGCCAGCATCGACCTGGCGAAGGGCTGGCGCAGTCTGACCTCGGCTCAGCGACGCGGGGAGTGGACGCAGGCGAAGTCAATGCACCGCTACGAGCACAGCAGCAGGCTCGGCAGCGACTATGCAAAGCTCGACCCCCGGCTGCGCGCGACGTGCGAGGAGGCAGAGAGGCAGCTGGCGCTCATCCTGACGGACCGTCCCCACAACGTGCAGATGTGGCGCAAGTGAGCCAGCTACACCTGGGCTACCGAGGAGGCCGCTCCCGTGGCCGCCTTCGCCGCTCGCGCCTCGGCAAGGGCCAGTACCTCGGCGATCTTTTCGCAGGCTGCCGAGCTGTGTCTCGGGCGGCCGAAGCCGAGGGCTTCCGTGCGAGAAGTTGGGACGTCATCTATGATGCAAAGTGGCAGGATTTGTTGTCGCCGGCCGTGCTGCGGGCGATCAAATCTGACGCTCGAGCTGGCCGGCTGGTGGCCGCGGCAATGGCCCCTCCATGCCAGACTTTTTCCCTCGCGCACGACAGGTCGAGGCCGGTGCGCAGCCGCGAGAAGCCATGGGGCTTCCCTGCCTCCGAGCTGACGCCTGCCGATGCCGAAGCAGTTGAATTAGGCAACCGCCTCGCTCGGGTTGCGCTTTCCCTCTTCAGATTCTTTTTGAAGCTGGGGGTTCCCGTAATCCTCGAACATCCCTTGACGAGCCGGCTGTGGCATACTGCTGAGGTGTGCGACTTATCGCACCATAGACATGTCTATCTGGCTGAACTGGACCAGTGTCAGTATGGAGCAAGATGGAAGAAGCCCACACGGCTCCTCTGTGCACACGTGAATCACGAAGATATAATTAAGCTCACCCGTCGATGCCGACCAAAAGGCTGTATATGTTCTAAGACTGGGAAACCCCATTGGCAACTCAGCGGCGGGGGGCCAGGCGGCCTCCGCCGTACCCGCATTGCTTCTGAGTACCCTCCTGGTCTGGCACGAGCAATGGTCTCTACCCTTTTAGCTAGTACTGTTGAAAAGCGAGCTTGTCACTCCCACCCTTTCTCTCCCCACCCTAGCGAACATCCTACCTGGATAGCTTCGGGATGATTTGGGAGATTGAGTTTTAAGGCATGCCTTTAAGCTCAAAGCCTCTGGCCATGACGAGTCCAGAGTTTCGCTAGATTCAGTCTCCGCAAGAAAAATGGGACCGTTGCTCTGGAGGTTTTAGAACGGGTTGAGCAGAGGGGCCATACGTGTGATGTTGGGCAAATAGAATATGCTGCCTGTCACTGGTGTGCACTCGCCAACACCCTGCTGCCTTTCTCCGCTCAAGTTGTTTTTGGTCTCCCGCCCCCCCAACCCTCGGGGAGATTGAGTTTTAAGGCATGCCTTTAAGCTCAAAGCCTCTGGCCATGACGAGTCCAGAGTTTCGCTAGATTCAGTCTCCGCAAGAAAAATGGGACCGTTGCTCCGTTGCTGTCTGGAGCCTCTCAACGTGTTACTCCTCCGTGTTTGCCCCGAGTTCTGGATGCTCCTCAATAGTGACATACTGATGGGTTCCGCACACCGTGGCGTCTCATTGATGTTGTGTTTGCTCCCCCATTGTTCCTCTTCCTCCGCCCCCCTCCTTATCCTCCTCCTCCATATCCTCTCCCTCCCCGCTGCTCGAAGGGTACGGTGGGCTTGAGAATGCTCTTGGATAGTAGTGAAAGTTAGCTCCACGTCCGGCAAGAGGAGGAGAAGGAGGACAGAGGAGCCAGAACATTTTTTTAGTAATCCAGGAGAAACGAGGGGAAGGAGGAGGAGGAGGAGGAGGAGGAGGATCAGGAGGAGAAAAAACACAGACACTATTAATCGTCGATTCCCCAGAAAATATGGAAAAATATGGGCAGTGGGTAGGGAGACAGAAACCCAGAAAATACTGGAAAATCTGGGGAAACTGTTTATTTATGTGTATTTATTTGTGTGTCCTGGGACCCCTTCAGAGGAGGAGGAGGAGGAGGAGGAGGAGGAGGAGGAGGAGGGAGGAACGGAGGAAGGCTCTGAGAACTAGCGCTATATGAATCTATCGATCCAGAGAGGAGGGAAGGGGTCCTCTTCTCCCAGGAGGACGAGGCGGGAGGAGGGCCGGGAGGATGGTCTGGGGGAGTTCGACTGGCCTCGCGGGTCTCCCAGCGGCCCCGCAGGGCCAGAGACGCCCGAAAGCCCAAATCCAACATCCTCCTGCTCCCCCCTCCCCCATCCTCCTCCTCCTCCCCATCCTCCTCCGCCTTCCTCCCCATCCTCCTCCCCCATCCTCCTCCCCATCCTCCTCCCCCATCCTCCTCCCCATCCTCCTCCTCCTCCCCCTCCTTCCTCCTCCTTCCTCTTCCTCCTGGAGGGGAAGCCCCAGGAGGATCCAGGGAGGCCCTCTGGGAAGGCGGGTTTGTTGCACATCCACTTGAAATCTTGAAAGAGATGAGGAGGAGGAGGAGGAGGAGGAAGAACAGGAAGAAGAGGAGCCGCATGGCGTCCTTCAGAAGTTTTCTTTATGGGCTCTCCGTGGTGCCTGTAGTGGGATCGCCTGGTGTTGCTATGCTGCAGCCGTAGCCTAGTTAAAGTAGGAGATATAGCCGAGCCCCCGTGCTGGCACCGCAGAATGTGCGTCAACATCCGTGCTCATCAAAGCCCGCTCACGCAATTGGAAGTTGAAGTCGATAAATAGTTTAGTTTATAACCGGCCCCAACCAGGGCAACCTTAAAAGCAAGGCTAGATGAGAGATTGTTTGATCTCGTGGGTGTTGCCTAGGTGGGCCCTCTTGGGCCCTCCTTGGAGCATCTTGGACTAGATTTGCCGGAAGGTGGCCACATTTGCTCGAAGGTGGCCCGAAAAGAGAAGGGGGGGGCTATTCTGACCCACCCACCCCCCCGGGACTCCCCCCTCGGGACCCTAGGATTCCCCCCCCGATGAGGAAGGGGTCAAAGGGAAGGGGCTTCCTTTCCCTTTCGACTGAATTGCGACTTCAATCAAGACATGGCTCGGTTCACGTCGAGTTGACGAGCTTGGCGCGCGAAAGAGAGTATCGGGAGAGCCTCTCGGAGTAAAAGAACAAATCGAATGAAAGATCGTCTCTTAGGAGCACTCGGGGGCGACAGACCCAGAACTCCCCTTCACACACGCCGACAGGGTCGGCGGATTTTGGAAGGGCTCCGTGGCCACTTGGAAGCGTATTGGGGCTGTCTTGGGCCGTCTTGACGAATCTTGGGGTATGTTAAGCCATTTGGGAGGCCATCGTGTGCTATCATGAGCCATCTTGGGCGCTCATGGGTCTCGCCCCATTCCCCCCCGTCCAGACTCTGGTGAGGGGATATGGCGAGGGGTAAACCCTTCCCCGCAGGGGAAGAAAGGGGTTGGAAGAGGAAGTGCCTTAAATCACTGCCACGAGGGCTGGTGGCATTCAAAATGTCTGCTGTTCTCCAGGAGTGTCTTGATTGTGTGCGGCTCCATGGCCCTCACATTAGCGACGTACGCACGGCGCTTGTCTTCCACCGTTTTGGCGCATAGTGTAGAATATCGTTGGCGTCGCTTCCCATTGATTGAGATTGTATTGTGTCGGATTTGGTTTCCATGTGTTGTTTATCAGTGTGAGGTGTTGCTTGGTGGTGTCCATCCCATCTGGATAGGTTGTCCCCATTCAGCCTCACAGCAGTCTGGGTATCCGGCACCAGATGCAGGAAAAGGCATGAACAAAAGAAAGCATGGAGCAATCTTAAGATCGATCCATGGTTTATGTTGTTGTGATGTGGTTAATGTCTCTTTGTCGGCGACCCGCACGAAGGGAAGTCCCAATCGTAGCAATAGCGTGCTCTCTTCGCGAGGGGTGCGGCAGAGACGAGCAGGAGAGCACGAGGAGGAGAACGAGGACCAGGGTGGGCAAGGCATTGGCTGCCCGCCTTTGCAGGGCAGAGCCCCCCACATGCAAACACGGGTATGCCCGTTGCGCTATGTGTCTTGCCGTGGAGGCTTGAAGGCGTGGGACACCAGCCTCGAGAGCGTCAAATATTTTGCAGGCCTCACGAAGCAGGCCACCTATATGTCCTCGTGTCATCGGCAATGCGACGGCAGCACGGAAGATGAGGCGAAGGATGCGCGTCAGGATTTGCATGTTAGATGTTTCTGGTTTCAGTTGTGTTATCTCCAGTCTGAATCGCGGAAGTATCGGAGGGAGGATGGGACGGAGGATGACAGGTAAGAAGGAGGAAGATGAGCATGACGGGGGTGGAGTATTCAACAAGAATTTGGTGATTCGGTTTTGTCAGGCATTGATTTGGCACAGTCAGACATGGCAGCGATCGCGCTATGCATCGACGTCCGTCTGTGGCGCTGGTTGCCGCTATGATGACACGCCGCAGTCAGCAGAGGCAGAGGAGGAGGAGGAGGAGGAGGAGGAGGAGCAGCAGTGAGCAGAGCACTGGAGGAGGAGGAGGAGGAGGAGGAGAAGGAGGAGAAGGAGGAACACAACGACGAAGAAGAAGGAGGAGGAGCAGCAGTGGGCAGAGCACCGAAGGCCAATGCCGACATGGTCCTGCTGGGCAACTGGGGCTACCAGGACTGGCGCTCCGCGGGAGCGCTGCCCCATCGCTCGAGTGGAGCTGGCCGGAGGCTGTGTGCGCGAGTGGCGGTCAGGCCCCCAGAGACCAGGACACAGATAAACCAGGACACGGAAAACCAAGGAAAGGACATCCTTTCCTGCAAAGCCACGTTTTTCAGCACCCGTGCACGTTTTGTTTGTTGCGCTGCAGGGTTCGGGTTGGTGTCCGGGCTTAGGGGGGTCTTGCAGGCTTTTGGGGCCCGTGTCCGGGTTTATTCTGGAAGTGCTGCAGTGCAGTATTTTGCTCGTGCCGCTGTTTGGAAAAATGGGTTTCGAGGGATGTTGGGTGTCCGGGTCTAGCGTGTCCGGGTCTACGCGGCCTTGAGGCGGAGCTCCAGTCATCCAACCATACGGATATGCCGTTCCGCCTCCTCCTCGTCGCTCGCCATGGTCGTTTGTCCCGAGCGTTGGGCGGCGGGCGAGGGAGGGAAGTGAGAAGGGGAAGGCCCCCTCAGAGGGCGTCGGGGCTTCTCAGAAACCCTCGCGCCTTTGGCATCTTTTCTGTGTCTTCGGGGAAGGCTTAGAACACCGATTATATCTTATCGAAAAATCCTGGGGAGGCTTGTCCAAGGGGGGTTGTCCAGGGGGGCGGGGGGTCTGGATCCTTGTGGGGTTGTCCAGGGGGGTGTCCGTGCCGCGTTGTCTTGCCGGCACGTGCACATATCAGTATCATACGTACCATCGAAAGCACGATCCCCTTCCAAGCCTTCTCAGAAGGCCCGCCCTTTCTCACTTCCCCCCTAGGACTCGCGGCCGAGTCACGAACGCGTCCGCGGCCATGTTGGTTCCAGGTTGAAGGACAGGAGGAAGCAGATCAATCGGCATTGCGGGTAACAATACATTGGTTCGGTCAGTGCACAAACGTCGCGGCTTCTGTTGAAGCCTCGTGATCACATTCGTGATTGAACGCTGCGATTCTATTTCGGATCAGCCGCGCAGTCGCCAGCACGTCGACACAGCGAGCCAGAAATATTTTGCCGATGACATCCTCGCAGGATGTTTCTTCGCCAGGTTGTTGATTCTATGAGGCAGTGTGCGCAGCAAGCACCCCGATGGCCAGGAGACAGGGTCGAGTTGCCACCGCATCTGCGACGCTTACGCCAACCAGATTTCCAAGTTTAAGTTGGTGTTTTTGCACTGTGAGCGCACCAGTAACGCCTACTGCGGTCTGCTTGCGAGGCGACGTGCCAGCGGTAGCTAGCGGTCTCGGGTTGGACAGTGAAGGTCGCGTTGCGAAGTAGCGTTGTCGCCTGGGGGGTGTCGTAGCCAATGTAGGTAGGCCCACGAGCATTGCTTGCCGAAGGTCTTCGCAAAGTAGGAGAGGGCAGTTGGGGATGCCCTTCGTTAGAATGCAATTCCTGGGAGGTTCATATCAGAATCGTCGCTGGTGTATCCCTTGTGAAAAACTGGCATAGCTTAATCTGGCTTGATCCTGTCCAATCCGGCTTAGTCCCGCTTGCTCCGGCTTAATCCCGGGCTCAATCTGGCCTAATTTGTCTCAATGGCCGTTGAATCTGGCTAAAGAGCCGTCAATCGTCGTGACGAAGGCCTCCCAGGAGTTGCCCCCTGACCTTGGCGACAGCTCCTGCTGCTCCCACGGCGTGGTCTTCGGCCTCCGGCTCTGGGCGCAGCGCGCGCAGGGCATCGCGGTGGTCGCCCCCTTGGCATCGCTCGGACGTGTGCATTTTTCCTTTGGCGAGGAACATCGAGGAGCATCCTTGATCATTTGGCGAGAAAAACCATGCACGAAACCAAAAAAACACAGGGAATGGACGTCCGAGCGATGGCCAGTTGCTCCCTCGCGCTCGTCCGAAAGCCTGGCGTTTCCTCGGCAGCGGCACTCTCTAGGCCGCCTGGACGAGGTCGGAGCAGATGGCGTCGGAGATCGCGCGCCGCATCGCCGGGGCATCGCCGGCGATGCGGCTCGAGGTAGGGCCCCTTTTCTCCACGCCGACGTCGCCGACGCATCGCTGACGTCATCAGTATATGGCCGATGCATCGGCGACACATCGCCGATGTATATCGGCGAGGCGGCGGCGATCCTCTGGCCCCATCTACGCCGGCCTCATCCAGGAGGCCTCCAGACACGCTGCAAGGGGTTCGCCACGGCGGCGTGGCCGTTGGTGCTGTTTTTGTTGCTCCCCGAGGGTCGAGGCATGAGCCGGCGCCTGCCCTCTGCCCTCCTCTGGAGGGCGCGGCGGGCTGGTCGGCCCGAGCGGTTTGCCGAGGGTGCGCCACGCATTCCAGCATGTCGACCACGTGTTTCGCTTGCCGAGGCCCACTGGCACATGTTGCGAATGAGCATGTGGGACCCTTGTGTGAAAATTCCTCCTCCTCCTCCTCCTCTCCTCGGTCGACCCCGACTCTCTTCATTCCTGCCTTTGAGGTTCGACGGCTTGGCCCGAGGTGCCGCAGGGGTTTCAGGTGTGGCGGCAAAGCGTGCCCGTCTTGTGGTCATTGCTTGCCCACCTCCCCCTTCTCCTCCTCCTCCTCCTTCCTCCTCCTCCCCCTCCTCCTCGTCCTCGTCCTCGTCCCCGTCCGCTCGATCTTCCAGAAAGTGGTGGGGCGCCAGCAGAATTGAGGAGACACCTTTCTGCTTGGACGGTTTGCCTATGAACGGTTTGCATATGAGACACATCCACGAGAAGAGGAAAGCTATGAGACGGTGATTAGGACGAAGATGTGGAGGAGAAGGGGAGATGACAGGAAGGAGGAGGAGGAGGAGGAGGAGGAGGAGGAGGAAGAGGAACATTGAGAAGAAGAGCCACGGCAGTATGTACAGCTGTAGCGGCTGCAGCGGCGGAGTGACAGCAGACGACCTGTCTTGCACAGTGTGGCACGGTTTGGCCCTCCCACCCCAAGGACGGCGACATCGAGAACGCCATCTATCCCACGTACGATGTGATGCAGAACTTGTTGACAAAGGGGAACCGCTTCGCGCGCGGCGCCCCGCACACGCCGCGACGCCTCCGCACGGCCCCTGCGGCGCTCTCCCGCGCGGCCCCGCCCTGCCCTGCCTTCCCCCCCCCCCGCCCCCCCCCCGCGCAGACGCGGCCGTGCGGGAGCGCCTTGGGCCCCAGAGCAGCGCGCGGGGAGCACGAACGGGAGCGGGGGGGGGGGGGAGGGTCAGCGCGCCCTCGGCACGAGGGCGGCCCGGGGAGGAGGAGGAGGCGGAAGAAGAGGAGGAGGAGGAGGAGGAGGAGGAGGAGGAGGAGGAGGAGGCTCGTCCTCAAGGCCATCAGCAGCTTCCACTCCCGCACTCGGGGCCCCCGGGGCCGCGGGGCCGGCCTCAGCCCTTTGGCCACCGCCGCGCGCGACGGCGGCACGGCGGGCGCCAGCAGTCAAGAGGGGTACGAGGAGATTCGGCGACGAGGTGAACGTAGCGGGCCTTCCGGGTCCTAGGCCGTTGCGAGTTGTGGCACACAGGGTTGGTTACAAGATGCGGCGTGGCCTGAGTCCCAGATGTAGCGACGTATCCACTATGGTGGCGGCCACGACGAACGCCAAATACAACACCAAGTACGACAGCAAGGGCCACTGGGAGCACAACACCAAGTACGACAATACAAAGCACAACACACCAGGCACGAGAAGGCCGAGCAGCCCCAAAGGAATTGCAGAGCACACTGTCGTGCAGAGATACCAGTGGACCACGGCTACGCCGCCCACCACGATGACGGTGACTACGATGCCCACTACTGCTACAGCGAGCACAGTGGTTGCGGCAACTACACCGCACATGGCTTCCGCACCCTGCCGCCCCCCACGCCGGCTTCCTGAGAGCCGCCAGCGGAAGTTCGGGGGCCACCAGCAGCGCCACGGGGGCCGCCGGCGGAGCTTCGACGGCCGAGTCGTGGCGTCGAGGTGCACGCGCAAAGCCACCAGGGCCACCTCGAAGAGCGGAGCACCACGACAGCCGACGACCCCGACTTGGGCCACGAGGAGGCGAAGGAGGAGATCAAGAAGGCAGACGAGGAGGAGGATTGCGAAGAGCGCGGCCTGAAGGAAGGGGACGACAAGAAGAAGCCCGACGCATTCGCGACGCCCGCGAATGCGCGCGAGGCATAAATACCTCGCCTGGCGCTGTGCCATCGCAAGCCGCACCTACTGGCTACGAGGGCCGCCATCGGAGCCACGAGGGCAACCTGCTGTGCGACAAGAACCACCAGCAGAGTTACGAGGGTCACGCGATGGTTACCAAGACCACGCGCCAAGCTACGAGGGTCACAAGCAGGGCTACGAGGACCAGCCGAGCCACGAGGACCACAAATGAGCTACGAGGGCCACTGGCCGAACTACGAGGGCCACAACCTGAGCTACGCGGGTCACACGCAGAACTACGAGAGCGGCCCGCAGAGCAACCGGGGCGACGAGCGGATTTTCACGAGCCACGAGCAGAGCTTCGAGTGCCACCCGGTTAGCTACGAGGGCCACCTGGTGAGCTACGAGGACCACAGCCTGAGCTACGCGGGCTAGACAGAACCACGAGAGACTCCCACAAAGCCGCCAGGGCGACGAGCTCCATTGCCAGGGGCCACGAGCATTGCTCCGAGGGCCACGACCTGAGCTACGCGAGCCGCAAAGCAGAACTATACGAGAGTCTCCCGCAGAGCTACCCGGGGCAACGAGCCGAACTGCAAGGACAACGAACAGGCTTTCGAGAGCCACCAGTCGAGCTACGAGGGCCGCAACCTGAGCTACGCGGGCCACAAGCAGGATTACAAGAGCCTCCCGCAGAGCTACATGGGCGACGATCTGAGCTGCAAGGGCCACGAGCAGAGTTCCGATGACCACAACCCGAGGTGCGCGGGCCACAAGCAGGACTACGAAAGCCTCCCACTGAGCTACCAGGGCGACGAGCTGAATAGCAAGGGCCACGGGCAGAGATTCAATAACCATCAGCTCAGCTACGTGGACCACCTGCTGAGCTACGTGGGCAACAAACTGAGCTACGAGGGCAGCGAGCAGAGCCGCGGGGGCCACCAGCTGAGCTACGAGAGCTACCAGCGGAGCTTCGGGAGCCACATGCAAAATGACGCATCGAGAGCGCCCACCAGCACCGAGAAGAAGCAGGGCAACAAGGAGTTCCAGTCCTACCAGAGGCAGGTCGACCTAGCCGCAGCGGGAGGTCCTGGCATGTCAAGAAGCCGATCGCGATCGGCGACGCAGCACAGGGCAGGTTCGGCAAGACGTACCACGACTGCGCTGTGTAGAAGCTGGACGAGACGTCCGCCAGGGTCCGCTGGCTGGATGGCACGACTTGCTTGCTCCAGCGCGCGGCAAGCCGCACAGCGTAGGTGGCACCGACAAGCTACAATGCCAAGTGCCTATAGCGCTACAGCGTTGCACTACCATCGCATGTACCCCGTACTTCGACTCCATCGCTACCGACACGCATTCCGAGTCTAGCATTGCCGACAAGATACGTTCTCGGCATAAGCACCATGATCCTCTGAGCGGCCCCGCTTCTCATTTGTCCTTTGCCCATCCTCCTTCTTGACCTACCTCGGGATGCAGGAAGGACTGGTGGCTCCCCCACTGTTTCCCCCCTTCTCCCTGCACGGAAAACGTGGTCTGGGGGGCTCCCGCGCCTCCCGCCGCAACGTTCCGCGCGCGCGGGCAGGGTGGCGCGGATTTGGGCTCGTTGCGCACCGTTGCGACAATGAGAGAGAGAGGGGGGGTGAGAGAGACAGGGTGAGAGCAAAGAGAGAGAGAGAGAGAGAGGGAGAGAGAGAGAGACAGAGACAGAGAGAGAGAGAGAGGCTCGCCCACCTCTCCGACTTCACCTCCTACTCCTCCTTTTCTTCCCCTCTGTTCCTCCTCCTCCTCCCTCCTCCTCCCCCTCCTCATCCTCCTCCGCCTCCTCTCTCCCTCCTCCCTCCCTCCTCCCTCCCTCCTCCCTCCTCCCTCCTCATCCTCCTCCTCATACTCCTTTTCCTCCTCCTTTTCCTCCTCCTCCTCCCCGTGATATCCCTCCTTTTCTTCCTCCTCATCTCCCTCCCTTCTCCTCCTCATCATCACCATCATCTATCATCATCAGCAGCAGCATCCTCATCATTATTATCCTCATTTTCCTCCTCCTCCTCCTCCTCCTGCCCCTCCCCCCTCCTCCTCTCCTTGTTCCTGTGGGCGCCCACCCGTGCCCTACCTGACAGACGCGCGTCGAGGAGATCTCAGGTGGTCCTCTCCGAGGCCAGAATTTACATACGTCCAATGTATGGGAGCCTAGTGCCCCAGAGCTGCTAGCAGGCAGTGGATCTGGATATTGTTGGGCGCCCCACCCCAGGGGGAGCAGTGGATCTATCTATATCCTTTGTTCCTTGGGGTTCCGGAGCATCAGTTCCTCAAGCGGTGGATATGTGAAAGTTTCGGCCTCGCGAATTGTTCCTCCTCCTCCTCCTCCTCCTCCTCCTCCTCCTCCTCCTCCTCCTGCTCCTCCGAGGAGGAGGAGGAGGAGGAGGACGACGACGAGGAGGAGGAGGAGAAGGGGATGGCGGCGCGCACAGGGAGGGGGGGAGTTTCCGAGTAGGCACGCGCTTGATCAGAAGCTTTCCAAGAAGTCATGTTGGGCCCTGGTGAGAAGCCCCTTGCCTTCCAAGAAGCCCCCCGTTGTCTCACAAGCCCGCCCACCTCGCGCGATCGCTCCACTCCGTGAACGGGTGCTTCATATAGCCTCCGAACTTAACCAATCTATGTCACTGCTGTTGCCAGGCATTGTTTGTCAGCCCATGAGCTTCCAAAATATATCACAGGATTGATCAGAACGTCCAGTAGACTGTCCCAACGACTCGCGCCTCCCCCTCGTGCTCGCCGCCAGCGAGGTTCGATCGGCCCGAGCGAGGAGGGAAGCGTGCGTGCAGGAGCCCTTTTC